GTACTTGAGTACATTCTACACCAGATGCCGGAGTCTTCTGGAGGAGGGTGTGGAACCGATTGTGGTCTTCGATGGAATCAGCGAAACTGGCGAGCGGGTTCTTTTTTAGTGTTTATAAAAACCCTTCTTAACTTTGAAATGCTCTCTCAGAGGTACTCAATGGAGATCCATTTTAGCACAGAAAGCGCAGACGTATTGTTCTTGATAGCCTGATATTAGGCTTATTATTCAGCCCAAAATTGGTGAGGAAAATCTCAAAGCGGGTCAAGATCGTCTAGGCTCTTCTTATCGGGCATTATTTCCTGATTTCATTATTTCCAATTACTGCTATTCACACATTTCAACAGCTTTTCCAGGGACTACCTGAGCGATCACTGTCTACCAAATGCCAGCTAGCTTGTTCAGTGACAAGCAGCACTGGTAATGCCAGATAGTCCAGTATCATGTAAAAAGCCGAAGGTGTGATTCCTAGAAAGATCTAGCTGTTTCTTTAGGATTTGTTCGTTCACTTCGTTAGTCGATTAGTGTTGCACATTGAGGGTTGGATTCTTCGTCAGCTTCGTTCTGAATAAGGGAATCACTGACATTTTCCATGTGTTCGGATTTAACGAGAATGTTTCTGGTTCAGTTACGGTAAAAAGCCATAAGGCGGCTCTTTTTTACGCTCACGTTTCACTAATGAACGCGTAAAAGTTGAAACCAGGAAATTTAAGTTCAGTGGGTAGTTGCTGTTGGCATATACTACTATTGTTTGGACTGCTTATGAGAGTCTCCAACTGCCACAGGGTGGAATGTAAATGGGAACTTTTGGCTTGTTTTAGCCCAGTTTAATTTTCAGATTTTGCTAGTGAAATGATGGACGTGGATATTATTAGCTGTGAAATTTTTCAAATATTGCAAATTTTTGCTGTTTCAGGCTGAGTACGGAGTAGTGACAGTGAAGAAGATAAGAAAACGAGGTGTGAAATACGGGGCATCAGAGCTAAAGCACGAAATGTTGCCAAAGATTGAGGAAATTAAGGTGCAACCTTTTTTAATAGTTTCATATGACGTAAAACACTTTGTACTTGTCTATATTTTTAAGAAAATACTTCGGACCCGAGCCGGACAGGCACTGGGTTGCACAGTGTAGCATTCTCATCTTGGCCAGTTAATGAAATACGCGTGAATTACCCGTAACTGCAGTGAAACTCATGCTTGTCATACTGTACGAAAACATCACAGGCGTCGAACAGCTTCTTAAGTGTGATAATCATAATTTTTACACTGTTACTGTTATTATTGCTACTATTATCACCGTCATTATCATTATTATCACCGTCATTGTCATTATTATCATCATAATTATCGAGGAGCGGGCAGTATGTACCAGTTGGAGAGGTATGCAACTCGGGACCGAAGGGCCTGACGTATCAGAGTATTCCAGTGACATCACTGATATGGGATCGCCTGCACTGGCTGTCAGAATGGTCTTCGCGTAGTTGATTTGCCTTTGGAAATTGCCGCTTAAAATGAAAATTTATACGGATAAGGGGTATTGGCCAAGAAAATATTCACTGAAGGTAGGAATGGTTCTTTAAGACGTTCCTTTTACAGGTGTTGCTGAATGCGATGGGTGTGCGCTGGATGGAGAGTAAACTGGAAGGCGA